GGAGCAGTCCTGTTAGGCCACAGAGGAGAGCTTTGCAGCCAGTCCTGAAGATACCTGATAAAACAGGATCAGATGAATGGGGAGGAGGTCCCCCTATCAGTGGACTTGGCAAGGGGCACGGTGGAGATGAGGGAGGGAGGGAGGGACTGGGAGGGAATGAGGGATCGGGACATGGCTGGGATACAGAGTTAATAAAATGTAACTGATAAGAAAAAAATAAAATTAAAAAAAAAGAAAAACAACAAAAAAACAAAAACAAACAAACAAACAAAAAAAAAACGTGTATTTAAACTTCTGTCATTGTGTGCTCTCCAGTTTGCTTCCAGAAGGGATTTTCTATTTTCTCTTCTTATATTCTGTCTCAAAATATGTTGGGAGAATGGTTGAACAGTTTGAAAAATTGTGAGTAGAAATGAAGGGAACTGATACGCAACTGGAAAAATTGTGAATAATGGTGGAAGCACTTGGAAAGCAAGTAGTGCCACAAGAGGGAGAACAAAAGAGCTCAGATATAATGACTAAGCAGGAGAATTCAAATTTCTCAAAAGATGAAGAGAAAAGAAAAACAGGCTAGAAGTCAGATCATGGCCCCACCTGGCACCATACATTTTCAGTTTAACAGCACCACAGCCCTTGGGTAGGGTGGGCAGCCAAGAGGAGGAGACAGTACAGGAAACAAGATTAAAAAATAGTAACCCATTTTGAGAGCCAACTGAGCAGCCAAAGGAAGGGTGGCCTGACATTACAAAATCACTCTCAGTTTTCCCAAGAATTAACAGCACATACCTGTTAATGGTGCTGATCTTGATTAGATGAAACAACATGACATCCTATAGAAATGATATAGGTTTGAGGTATTTTAAAGAGGCTATTTTTTTTCCTAAAGAATGTAATCTTCTTATGTTAAACAAATATTAAATAACTGGGCTGCCCAAAATAGAATTATTTCCCAAGAATGGAAAGGTCTGAGTAACAGCCGTGGTAGAGTCCAGCCAGCAGTTACAATGGGTAATGTAGTGGAAGGAGGAAGCCACTGATATTGAGGAATAAAATAGCACAAGGGGAATGAATATTGTTAAAGATATTCATCTTAACGATGGTATTCTGATTTGTGCACCCCTGCTGTTAAGGTCAAAGTCTAACATTTCTGGATAGGGCTTGGTATAATATGATGGACACTTTTTCTCAGCTGGGTTCCCTGCTCTGGGGAATCCCTGATCTTCTAAGGAGCATCACATACCCTTCAGAGAGATTATAAACCCTGATAAGAATCCCATTCAGCAAGCACCTGAAGATTTTTAGAAATACCCACTTTATGCTAAAGAGATGTCTTGGTGTCTTGTCTTTCAACCAATGACCTTTAACGCTACCTGAAGTTCTTCTACCACCCATAGGATAAGTAAATACAGTTTTTACCTTCTTCTGATGATTTGCCCCAGCAAATCAAACACATTCACCCTCAAAACCTGTCCTACTGCCCAACGTTTATAAGTCCCTGTTTCACACAACAAGAAGGGACCAGTATCATGTATTTCACTATGATTGGCTGAGACTCATCATTCATTCTGGAGGAAGGATGGGCTTTCCTCTTTTATGAAGAGTTCATTGCTGGATCCTTGGGGCTTCCTTGTCCTTCAGTCAGCCACTTGCTGCTGGCCATCACATACTTCCACCATTCACCTGGCATGTCAGAGAGGATCACTGCCACCATCTTTCAACCTCTGCTCTGCCCACTACAGTGACTATCTGTGGGAACAAGTGGCTGGCTATTCCTGAAGCAGCCATTTTGTCTACTCAGACAAAACAAAGCTCTTGCCTCTCTTGGTTTTGGAGCTATGAGTGAGCCTCTTTTACAGGTTGCTCATAAGGCAGCCACTAAAACAACCAAGTCAGGCTGGGCCCTCATTGCCACCTGGCTTGGGTTTCAGAACGCTGAGCTCTTTTGATTTTGCACTTTCCCCTTTTCTAACTAGAGCTTGCACTTCCATTTTCTACCAGACAGCAGTGATGGGAAACACAGCTGAATCCCAGAACAGCCCAGGCTTCCAAGAGATGTTGAACAGCACTGATTTACAAGATCAGATTAAACTTGATGGTGCTGTTATTGAACAGTATTGCTTAGTGGCTTTGAGGCTTGGGACAAAGTTGAGGAACTTGGGAAAAGGTCTGTCTTATTTGCTAAGATTGTACAAGGCTCTGAGGAAGCCTTCACAAAATTTTTGCAAAAGTTGCTTTCAGCTGTAACCAAAGCCATTTCAGACCCTGATGCAAAACAAGTCTTGATAAAATCCTTAGCATTTGAGAATTTGAATACTGAATGTGAAAGGGTTGTTAGACCTTTAAGGCACAAGCAGTACCAAGGGATGAGTGGATAAAAAACATGACTGATAATGGCTCTCATGAGCATCATAATACTATCATAGGGTAAGCTTTTGCTAGAGGTTTCAGATATCAAAATGCCCAGTGCTTTAGTTGCAGTGAATCTGGCCATTTACAAAGAAATTGAATTAACTGTGAAAAATACAGTGCTTTCTGCCAGAGAAGTGAACAAGACATTTCTGGCTGCAATGAACATTCAGAAAGAACCCCTAGACTTCCTGGAGCTTGCAGATGTGGGTTAAGAAATATGATAGGAAAAAGTGAATTCAGGTCAAAGGAGATGGCCAAGAAAATATCTTGCAGTTGGAAACTGAAACAGGGAACCTGCCAGCTTAAGGTCTAACAATGAAATATATGAGCCTTTTAGAAATAATTCATAGGCAATTTCCTCAATTTATTATTATTTTTTCTTATAAAGGTTTTTAATTTTATTTAGTATTCAAAATCTCAAAGGAAAAATTAAAATGTAACACATCACTAGAATGGATTCCATAACTTCACTCACTTAAACATCGGGGCTAAGGTTTTACATAATAAGTATAGTAAACAATTAATATGGTGGAAAAAATGAATTGTTATAATTTAGTGATGCAGAGATATCATGATGATGTTTCTATTTGCTCCTTCTACCATACAGTACCTGGGTGGAAAAACAAACAAACAAACACACAAACAAAAAAGGGTTTGGAAGGAAATTTACAAGGAAGGCCATCAGTCAATACTCAGGTTTGGCCTTTGCTGTTGGCCAGGTACTTTAGAGTTTGTCTCATTAAATTATCTTGACTTTAACTCACTAACACAGATTTCCTAGATTTTCCTGAGTGTTTCTTCATTGAATAACATGACAAACGTCTCATCCTCAATTTATTATTTGTCATTACATAAATAATATTTTGTGGGCTGATGGAGATACTGCAGAGAAAATGTTTAAGAAAACACAAAGAATTCTGCCACACTGAAGCTTACAAATTGCTCCTGAAAAAATGTACAAAAGAGATTATATTTGGGTTGTGAAATAAGTCAACAAATAGTTTGACCACAAAAGGTACAGATCTGTAGAGATAAGTTGCAAACTCTTAATAATTTTCAAAAATTAACGGACAATAGTAATTAGCTGTGGTCTACAACTGGATTAACTACTCATGAGTTACGTAGTTTGTTTCAAAGGTTATGAGGAGATAGATTCAGGCTTAAACAGTTAAAGATGTTTAATAGTTGAAGCAGAAAGAGATTTAACTCTGGTAGAACAGAGACTGCAAGATGCATTTGTGGATCAAATTGATCTTAACATTGACTGGATTTTGATTATTTTGCCTTCAACTCATTCTCCTACTAGACTCATTATACAAAGAAGGATAATATAGAATGGATTTACTTTCTTTTTTTAAAGTTTGTAGTTTTACATACTGACTGGCCCTCTGGGTGCTTCTTTACTTATACAGAACTTAGTAGGCAGGGTTATATGCATGTTGTCACAAAACATAGATCATATCATTTTTGTCCCTGGACACATGTTTAACTTCTGCTTGGACTAAGTTTAGTTATCATTGATAAATCATGACAGAACAGAATCAATTTCCTTCACCAATCCCACAACTCAATTTTTAAACAATATTGCAGTTTCAAGGGCATATTTTGCCAAAGCATGACAGCCTGTTCTAAGGATGGTGGCTCTTGTGGTTTCAAGGATACTAGATAGAAAGAAAACATACACACCAACCTGGGAAGATTGTCATGTTCCAAGCAGTGTATTATCAACTTTTAATAGTCAGAGTGCTAATTGTCATTAGATGCAAGAAAAGTCTTCAGGACAAAGATGCTGTAGGTATTATTTAATTTCTGCCATAGTACAATGTTTATACTTTATATATTTGTAGATTTATATTTAATTATATATTTATATATAAAGATAAAATGTTTATAAAATATATAAGTATATATTTGTATTTTATATATTTATATGTGTAATGTTTATTTGTCTAATCTAATTTTTTGTTCCTTGGTTATATAATACAGCACACTGGCCCTGCATGAGTTCACTTTTCTAAGAAAAGAAGGCCTTAATATTTTATCTTTTATCATTTATACATACCATCAGTAGTAGGAAGAGACTTTTAATTTGATCTGCTGTCAACTTCTCTAGTCCACCAAATATTGTTTACCTTTTCAGGTTTACTTTGTTCTGATTGTTTCTAAATAAGTTAGGGGCATATGTGCCAAGAGTATCTATGGGTCAGAACCTCATAAGAATGTTTGAGTCATAACCTCCAGGGAAGAACTTCAAGTAGGCCCAGGTAAGGATATCTCCTTAAAAGTGTGTGTGTGGGGGGGTAGTCTAGTCAGGACATTCCTGAGAAAGCTTAGAAGCAATATTCCTGGGAGAGGGAGTAAATGATTCATAAGAAAATTTCCATCAATCCAATATCCACATGTTATACAAATTATAAAACACACCAAGCATGCAACACCTAGAGATTAAGGCCAAAGAATGGGGGACTTCATACGATGATTGTATAAATAAGCTCAGCTTTACTGGATCTTTGTCAAGCAGTTATACTGGCTTTATAATTTTTGCTGTCCCAATAGATATGGCTGTGCCAGCAAAGGTTTTACAACATTGGTCACAGTCGTAGTTTATTTTTTTTTCTCCAGTATGTGTTCTCCAGGAGATGAGTGTTACTTGCAAAAACTTTATCACATTGATTACATTTATAAGGCTTCTCTCTAGCATATGTTCTTTCATGTATTAGCAGATAAGTATGATGTGCAAAAACATTACCACATTGATAACATTCATGAGGTTTCTGTCTAGTATGAATTCTTTCATGACTTTGAAGATGACTGTTACATGCAAAGGCTTTACCATATTGATTACATTCATACGGTTTTTCTCTAGTATGTGTTCTTTTATGTATTTGGAGACTAATGTGATATGCAAAGACTTTACAACATTGGTTACATTCATAGGGCTTTTCTCTAGTATATATTTTTATGTATGTGGAGATTACTGTGATGTGAAAAAACTTCATGATATTGAATACCATCATAGGGTTTCTCTCCAGTATGAACTCTTTCATGGCATTGAGGATGAGTGGAATATGCAAAAGCTTTATTACATAGAGTACATTTAGAGGGTTTCTCACCAGTATGGCTCTCATGCCTTCCATATCTTCTAGAACTTTGATGATGTTATTCAATATTATGATCTTCCCAAATGTAGCCTATAGCAGACAGGTTGTTGTCGGTCTGTAGCATCACATCTTTGTAGAGACTCTTCCGGGAAGGATACAGCAAAGCCCATTCTTCTTTAGTGGAGTTCACACGCATATTATTGTAGGTCATTGCATTCATGCCACAACTTCGGAGCTTGCCTGAGCTCCCCTCACAGCACCCAGCATCAGTGCTCAGTTGCGACTTGAGAGCTTGCCCAAACTCCTCTCACAGCACTCCTCTCAGAGCACATTATACTGAATCATTCAAGCCTTCTCAGCAAAGGGACCTGAACCTGCAGTAATGCACCCTCATAGAATGGATTTTCTTAGCACATAAATAAAGTAAAAAGTTAAAGGCTTATGTAGAAAAGGTTTCTAAACTAATCTTAAATGGTAGAACAAGACTACATCAACTGTCAGGAACAGACCTGGCCAAAATTTTAGTGCCTCTTACTAATGCTGGGATTATGTCATTATGGTAAGCAAGAAAGACTGGCAAAGAGCTTGTAGTAACTATTTGGGAGAAATTAATAACAAATATCCTAAAAGCAAGCATCTGCAGTTTATAAAAATAACTAATTGGATTCTCCTACATACTGTAAAGGGAACACCAATTCCTGAATCACGTACTTTCTATACTGACTGCAAATAAGTTAGAAATGGCAGGCTATAAGTCAGACAAAATGACTAATTCAAAGCCCATATACTTAAATTAAAAAATCAGATTTGTATGTAATCCTTATGATATTATTAGATTTTCCTGAATCTCTTAATATAATTACTGACTCTCGATATGCAGAAAGAGTTGATTTGTACATAGAAACTGCCGAGTTTATTACTAATAATTCAGAATTAACTTTGTTATATATGCAACTGCAACAGGCCATCAGAAATAGAAACTGTCCATTTACTCATATTACATTTGGTCTCATACAGGTTATCCAATTCCATTGGCACAAGAAAAGGAGGCAGTTGACCAATTATTAATAAGAATTGTATTAGAAGCCTCAATTTTTCTCATGAAAACATCACATTAACAGTAAAATTTTAAAGAAAAAAATTTTTCTATCACTTAGCAATAATCCATGGAAATAATAAGAAAATCTCCTACTTGTCCTTTGTGTAAGAAAACTCCATTGCATCTCATAAGTAGCCCCAGCAGTGCCAAAAGAAATGAAATCTGGCAGATGAATGTGTTTATTTTTACAGGATTTTGAAAACTAAAGTTTGTACACCGCTACTATTGTTACATATTTGGGGGTTCAATGGGCAACTCTTTTGAGTTCTGATAAAACTGATTGCAAAATTACACATTTATTTGGAAATAAGGGCAATTATGTGGATATCTGCACGAATTAAGACAGATAATTCCCATACATATGTATCCAATAAAATGAAGCATTTCTTTGCATATTATAATGTAAAGCATATTACAGGATACCACACAATTTTACAGGACAAGCATTTGTAGATAGATCAAATTATACTTAAAAAATGCTTACAAAAGCAAAGGAAGAGAAAAGACTCCCAGGGATAGACTAAATAGTGTTTTGATAACTTTAAATTTTCTTAATGTTAATGAGAAAGGATCAGCAGCAGCTTGGAAACTGGATTGATTATAGGAAAAACCGTGTAATTAAAGCAGCCTCTACACTATAAGGATGTGCTCATATCAGAATGGAAACCTGTAATAGTTTTGCATTGGGACATGGTTTTGCTTATGTTTCTACAGGGAATGAAATGATATGGATACCATTAAAAGTTATAAAGATTAGCTTTGACCAGGGAAGAAGTCCTGAAAATCTTGGCTCCAGGCTTGGAAGAAGAGACCCAGAAGAATAACAAAACAGATTGCACAAATGCTAATTAATATTCTTACATTAAAACAGATCAGGAGACTAGTGGCAAGATGAATGTCTCTACATAGCCAATAAATCTTTTTGGCTACTTGCGCTTCATGATTTATTATTACATGCAATCCTTTCATATGAAATGGATAGAGATTTATATTACAGCTTGGTTATGTAGTCCAGATGGACTTATAATATTGATAGATGCCTTTACCTGCTCAAACATAGAGCAGAGAATCATCATTAAATAATTTGTGCACACCACAAATTCCAAATATCTGTTAATGCAGAAATGTCCCTACAATATTACCTTTAAACTTTGTGTGTTTACAGGGCAAATAAACCAGACACCAGTGAAAACAAATCAAGTAACCCAGGTTATCCAGCCTTGTAAACTGCCTCAGCTGCTGCTTCCCCAAAAATTGCATTCAGAAAAAGTTCAAAGCAGCTACTTCAGATGATCCAACTTCTCAGACTGCTTCATCCAGAACTTCAATTGAACCCTGTACTTTCTTATCACACAGCGACTGGGCAGCAAATAAAACAGCTAGTTTTCCTAGAAATAGGCAATATCCAATATTTTGGGGGTCCCCAAAAGATAATTTAGCCCCTAGAAAGCAGGAAGTAATTTTAAAAGTATGAAGCCCTCATTCCTGAGAGGTGGAATGGGTAGTTTTTGGTCATTCAATGCATTATGATGGTTGTTTTTTAGGAGTGTTGGTTACAAGTTGTTTATTGTTGCAAGTTGTTTTGGTCAGGGAGGATACAAAGTGAAGGATATATTCAGGGAACTCTTTCCCTCTTTCTCTTTCTCCCCTCTATTCTTATTTTCTTCTATGTAGTGTAAGTAAAAATGGATCAAAGGAATAAGGGCTATAGGGATATAAGGACAAAAGAATAGACAATTGTATCTCCTGGAAAAAGAAAAAAAGAAAGGTGGATTAATGTATCTTTTACACTAAGAAAGCAACAACAAGTCAAATACTTTATGGTTGTATGGATTATTGTATATTGATAGAAATTTAAGGTTATATTTTCATACAAAGTACTGTGAATGTTTCAACTCTTGTTTAAGGTATTGTACATATGTAATACATTTAAAAATGTAATATAAAGTTCTAGTCCTTGAAAGCTACTATTGCAAAATGTTTAGGATACTTGAGAATTAGTTACTTATAAGTAATCAAACTTGTAATGTTGTTAGATACTAGTTTAATTAATTACAGAAATAAGCTTTATTTAGTGTCCTGTATATGTTTTCAAAGTTAAATAGTAAAAAGTATAGAGCTAGAAACAAGAAACCTTTGTCCATTTAGATATACTGAGATTTATAGGCGGTCATCAAACACTTCAGAGATCTACAGAATATGGCATGTAAGATGTTGTAAGAATAAAAGGCTTTTCTGACACATCAACTCCTGGCATCACCCCAAACTACTTCAAAGAAGATGATGGGCACCAAAGAACCTCCACATGAAGTTTGCTTTAAACAAAAACTTACTCTTACCTTGACTTCTGATGTCATGCTCTCCAAACTGTGGACAAGCAGGACAGTGGGAAGTCAACTGCTCGTCTTTGTCATAACAATGTAGGCCAGTCCTTCAAAATTCCTGCTTCACAGAAAAGCCTGTCAGATATTCTGGGCTTGTTGGCTGAAGATTAGATGCTCTGTCAATACAGAGGAACCTTGGCTGACTGTCCAGGTAGCTAGCAGGTGTAGAAAGAACATCTTATGGAATGTATGGATGCAGCACCTGTCAATAACAAATCTGATGGCCTATAGCTTAGGCAGGAAATAGAAAGTGGGACATCTGGTAGGCAGAAGGGATAAGAGGGAAAATATCCTACAACATAATGGTGTTCCATTTGTGAAGCATAGAATCCAAACTAACTTGAGAAAAGTCTCAGGTAGAGGCATAAATCTTCCCCAGAATCAAAGCAGTTTCAAGACACTACCCAGAAGGGTATTAAAGTGGATGCTGAGACTCATAGCCAAACTTTGGCTAGAGTGCAGGGAATCTCATGAAAGAAGGGGGAGATAGAAAGAGCTGGAAGGGTCTGGAGCTCCACAAGGAGAACAACAGAACCAAAAAATACGGGCCTAGGGGTCTTTTCTGAGACTGATACTCCAACCAGGAACCAAGGAACATTCATGGAGATAACCTGGACCCCTGCACAGAGGTGACCTGTGGCAGCTCAGTCTCCAACTGGGATTCCTAATAAGGGGAACAGGGGCTGTTCCTGACATGAATTCAGTGGCTGGCTCTTTAATCACCTCCTTCTAAGGGGGTAGCAGCCTGACCAAGCCACAGAGGAAGACTGTGATAAACAATCCTGATGAAACCTGATAGGCCAGGGTCATAAGGAAGGGAAGGAGGTCCTCCACTATCAGTGGACTGGGGAAGGGACATGGGAGGAGATGAGGGAGGGAGGGAGGAAAGGTGGGATTCGGAGGGAATGAAGGTGAGGCTACAGCTGGGATACAAAGTGAATAAATTGTAATAAATAAAAAATTATATTAAAAAAGAAATATGATAAAAAAGAAAAAGAAAAGAGGTTGAGGGGTAAAAAAGCAGGGCTTTGAAAGCTCTGCTTTTACAAACATTATTGGTGGCTCTGCCAAGCACTGCACGTTTCCAGGGCATCAAAGCTTGTGCTATCATTCAGCTATGAACCCAGATTGAACCACATGCCTGGCTTTGCTATATTGCTGCCCAGAGCAAGGCTGACCACAGGGCCAGTGGCTGGCAGGAATCTGCTTGGAAGACAGAGCAGTGGCAAGGAGAAGTTGCGGGTTAGGCATCTGGTGAGCAGGGCCCCAGAAGCAAACAAAACACAAGGCTGGCTGAGATGGTGTACCACAAGTACATGGCCCTCCTGGCCCTCCTGGGCCCTGGTGTTTTGGCTCTGTTGTCTCCTTGTGGACTTCCTGTCCCCTCCAGGTTTTTCTATCTCCCTCTTCTTCCATAAGGATTCTGGCACTCTGCCCAAAGATCATCCAGAGTGAGGTAACCCAGAAACAGAAAGACACATGTATAAGCTCACTTATAAGTGGAAATTAGCCATATAAAATAGGATAAAAATACTATTGTCCTATAGTCCTAA